CCTGCCCCCTCCTCCCTTCCTTCCACGTTTCAACATTCATCCAGGCGTTTTAATTCTATGTCGTAAATATCTCCTCTATCATCTGTCACCCACCATCCCACGCCCTCACCACACCCCCGTCACCTGGACCACTGTGCCCACAGCTTCCTCACTGCCCCTCTGGCCCACCTGCCATCAGAAGATCTGCCCTCAGCGCAAATCCCATCTGGTCCCTCGGCCTCACACCCTCTGTGGCTCCCCTGCTCTCCCCGGACCTGCTTCGTGACCTGGCCCTCCAATTTTGCCAGCTTCATTCACCCCCAGCCTCACTCACTTCTCTCTGGCTGTAGGGGCTGCTGGCGGTGCCCCAAGTTGCTCACATTGTGTCACCACTGTGCCCTTGCACAAGCCGTTTGCTCCACCTCCATGTTCTCTCCTCACTCTTTCTCCCATCACACTTGAAGAGTCCGCTCAGGTGTCCCTCCCTCCAGGAAGCCATCTCTTACACCTGGAATGCATCAGGGGCCTCTCCCTTGTGGTCCCACAGACCTCTGGGCTTCCCTGGATCGAGCTCTTCCTGTCACTGCCCAGCATCTGCCTAACTCAGAGCAGGTGCTCAATAGATACTTGTTGAGTGGACTATATTTTTACTGTCCACTTATCAGCCCGGGAGAGTCTAGACTGCAATCTGTGATTTAAAAAATTTGTTCAGCATCTATTTATTGAGGCCCTCCTGGTGCCAGGCACCAGTGAGGGACATGGCAGTGAACATGAGCAAGAAAGTCTCGTTCTCAAGGAGGCAGGGATGGGTCCAGTTTCCCTTTGAATCCCTGTGCTCAGCCTTGCACAGAGGCGGTGCCCTCTCTGTGTCGCGTGGCAAACACATAAGCCTTCTCTGACCTTGAGGCAACAACATACCCAATGTCATCCCCATTCTCCCTTCCACTAGTGGGTGTTTCACTCCCTGCCCATGGAAATGGATAGAAACATCCTCATTCTGGACTTACCTCATTCTCCTGGGTGACTTCAATCTCCGAAGTTAACAGGGGAAGAGAGACAGCCCAGGTGTCAAGGACAACGACATTCATTGAGCATCTTGGGCAGGTCCTTTGACCTGCATGAGGTTCTTTAACTTTCATCTCCACTGGACAAGGCAGGCCTCTGTCCCAGTTCTCAGAGGGCGGAAGTGAGCCTCAGGAAGGTGACTTGTTTCGGGTCTTGCAGCCAGGAGGAGCAGCTGAGACTTTTACATTGTTTTGTCTGGTACCGGAGCCTGCACTGCCCACGGCCTCACCATCACACAATTCCAGGCAGGAGAGATGTTCAGAACCACCTTCTTCTCTGAGAGTTGATGCCAGGTGGTTTTCAAATGGAAAGGCTCCACTTGAAGCTTGGCAGAGCGGAGGAACAGTTAAGAGCATCCATTTTTTGTGTGTGTTTGTGAGGAGGATTGGCCCTGAGCTAACGTCTGTGCTCATCTTCCTCTATTTTATGTGGGATGCTGCCACAGCATGGCTTGACGAGCAGTGCTAGGTCTGCGCTGGGAACTGAACCTGTGAACCCTGGGCTGCTGAAGTGGAGCATGTGAACTTAACTACTACGCGACTGGGCTGGGCCCAAGAGCATGCATTTTTTGCTTAGATGGACTTGAGATGTAATTTCTTGCTGCACCTCGCTGTGTAATTTAGAGCAATTTAACCCCCTGGAACTTCAATTTTCCAATCTGAAAAAAGGGGATGGTAAAACCTACCCCAGAATATTGTGAGGGTTGAGTGACATAAAGATTGAAGTCTGGCACTCGGTAAGTACTTAATAACGTGGATGGCGGTGATGTAGGACGATTCTGGCTGGGGCAGGGTGCGGTGTGGGGTGTCCTGCACTACCACTGCCCTCCTCTAGATGGAAGCAGGAGCCAAAGAAAAGGGCCCTGGGGTTATCCCTAGTGGGCTGTGAACTTCAGGTCTCCAGTGACCCCACAGCACTTGGACCAGAACAAGAAAGATCAGTGAGGTCAAACGGGAGGGCTTGTGGAGCTGGAGGAGCCCTCAGGGGTCGCTCAGCCATAGGGGGAGAGACTGGGACCCAGAGAGAGAAACAGAGGGGTCCAGGTAAGTTAGGGGTGGCGTCTGCTTCCTGGAGCAAAGCGAAAAGGTGCCCAGGAGTGATGGAGACATTGTCTCTTTAAGCACCAAACAATTCCTCCCCCTGCTCTCAGGTCTGACCTTTGAGCCTTGCTCACCTGCAGCTGGCAGAGTGGAGGGGAGGCTGTCTGTGACGTCACAGAGCCGGAAGCAGGAATGTTGTGGACTGGGGGGGTGTGACTGGCCCCCACAGGCGGGGAGGAGGGGGAGGTCTGCTGACCTCTCTCCAGTGGTCCTCCCCTCTCTTCATGATGCCGTGCTGTCCACCGTACCCATTGGGTTGGTTGGAGTGGTTCTGCCTCACGTACCTCTTATCCTTCATGGAATAGTAGGTTAGCTGGGGCATGTTCTTCTCGTGGGGGTTCTAGAGGTGTAACAGAGAAAGCCCCATTGTGAAAACACATTTCTATGCCCCTACTGGTGTTCACCTGCTAAGTTTCCATTGGTCAAAGCAAGTCACGTGATGGAGCCCAAAGTCAAGGGGGAAGACAGTACGGGTCACCCAAGAAGATATGGCAGAGGAGGGTGAAGAGTTGGCCCATATTTTGCTCTGCCCCAGGGAGACACCATTGCTGTACCCATTTTGCAGATGAGGAAACAGGCACAGACACTCTAGTAGGAATATTGGCCAATGTGACACAGCTAGTAATTGGCAAAGTGAGGTGGGTCAGAGACAGGCTTTTTTAAAGGTTCAGTGTTGATGTTGTCAAATTGCTTTACAAATGGGTTCCACCAATTTAGTTCCTTCTCTGCCAGGGAGGGGATGCTGGTGTATGACCTGTTGCTGCCACTTCTCCTCCTTCTGTCCTGGCCTCTGGACCGTGGTGGCAGAAACCTGCCCTGGGGCTGGGCTGCAGAGATCCTCCCATGTGAATAGAAGGGGCCACCCAGATAATGGGGGATTGTCTCCCCATCTCAAGGTCAGCTGACTAGTGACCTTAATTGTGTGGCATCTTTAATCCTCTTTTACCATGTAAGGTAACATATTCACAAGTTCCAGGGAACAGAACGAAGACATTTTTGGGGGGCCTTTATTCTGCCCACCATAGTCCTTAAACACTTGGATCAAGAAAATAAAAGAATGAAATAAATATCCAATTCAAAAAGCTAGAAAAAATGAAGTAATCAAAACAGTGTACAAGAAAAGGAAGGACTAAGGATTAAAATCAGAAATCACTGGCGCAGAGTAGAGAAAAACAATAGATCTAATTAATAAAATCTTTTTTTTTGAAAAAATTAACAATAGAAATATTATGTCGTTAATCAGGAAAAAGGGAGAAAGCACAAATGTATAAAATTAGAAAGGATAAGGGGAAAATAACCATTGAAGCAAAAGAAATTTTTAAAAAGCTTGAGAGTACTTTATATGCCTTTATGCAAATACGTTTGAAAACTAGATGAAGTAGATACTTTCCTAGGAAAATACGGTTTATCAAAGTGACTGCTTTGGAGATAGAAAATGCTATCAATTTCTATAGAAGAAACAGAGAAATTTATCAAGGAGCTACTGTCCTCCCAAAAGGTAACAGGGAAATTTTGCCAATCTTTCAAAGACCGGAGAATTCCAGTGCCACATAAATCATTCTAGAGCATGTACAATGAAGGAGGGCTTCCAAATTCTCTTTACAGAGCAAGTATATAATATTGATAACTAAGTCTGATAAAGATAATACACAAAATTACACAGCAATGTCACCTATCACCTATCAATGTTGATACAAATACCAAATAAAATATTAGCAAACAATCCAACTCCATATTATGAAAATAATACATCACGATCAGGGGGAATTTATTTGTGAAGTGGAAATTTGGTTCAGTATCAGGAGAAAGAGTGTGTGATTTTTTTCCCATAGATGATGGGAAAAAGAAGAAAGAAAACAGAATTGATGGATATTTTCTTAACATGGTATTCTCTCTACCTCTCTTTGTCCTGAAATGAGCTTCTTACTTAATGGGCAGATACTAGACGTATTTCCTTTCAAACCAGGAATGAAACACAGATATTCACTATCTCCACTCTTTAACGTTGTGCTGGTGCTATTAACCATTGCAATTAGACCAGATCAGTCAGTCAGAGACAGAAGGATTAGACAAGGAAGCAGCTGAAGTATCTCTAGTTGCAGATGGTCTAATAGTAGTCCTGGTAAGCCACAGAGAATCAGTGAGGAAACTAGCTCAGACAGCAACAAGCCACAAGGGAAATTAACATGAAATTAACACAGTGAACTCAGTAGTGTTAATATGCGCAATCACGAGAGAGGAAAACTCCACTTACAACAGCAACAAAAGGATAAAATACTTAGGAATAAATTTAATAAGAAATTTGCAAAATTCATATTAAAAACATTAAAAAATAGCCCGGAAAGACAAAGAAATAGGTTTGAACCAATTGGAAAGCCATTTGTGGCTAAGGAATGAGTATCATAGAGGTGTCAGTTCTTCCGAAGTGAATTTATAATTTTTCCTAAGTTAACTTTTAAATTTTGCACAATCACAATGCAAATACCAGCAATATTCTTTATGGAGCTAGACAATTGATAATAAAATTTATATTAAAAAAAAGCAAGAATAAAACAAGATGGTAGCAGCAGATGCACAGACTCACCAGTGGAATAAAGTAGAAAATTCAGAAAGAGATCAAAATATGTATGAAAATTTAATATACAGTGATAAAAGTGTCATCTCAGGGGCCGGCCCCGTGGTGCAGTGGTGAAGTGCGCACGTTCTGCTTCTCAGCGGCCCGGAGTTCACCAGTTCAGATCCCGGGTGCAGAGATGGCACGGCTTGGCAAAAGCCATGCTGTGGCAGGCGTCCCACATAGAAAGTAGAGGAAGATGGGCACGGATGTTAGCTCAGGGCCAGTCTTCCTCAGCAAAAAGAGGAGGATTGGCAGCAGATGTTAGCTCAGGGCTAATCTTCCTCAAAAAAAGAAAAAGAAAAAAGTATCATCTCAAATGACTAGGCCAAAGATGGTCTTTTAAATAAATGTGTTGGAATGACTATGTAAACATTTGGAAAAAAGATAAAGTTAGATCCATACTTCATATAGACATAATAATAAATGCCAAATGGAACAGGGATTTAAATGTAAAAAATAAAACCATGGCAGCATATAAAGAAACATGGGCGAATTCCTCTAAAAACTGAATGCATGGCAAAGCTTTCTAACTATGACCCAAAATCCAGACGCAGTAAAATCTTAATAAATTTGACTTCAAGTCCAAAATTACCACAAGCAAAACCAAAAGACAAATGGAAAACAGGAGAAATTATTTGTAATCTTTATCTCATGTGAAGAACTAATATTCCTAGTCTATAAAGAATGCTTAAAAATTAAGGAAAAAAGACAATGGAAAATGAGCAGAAGAAATAAACAGATAATTGACAAAAACATGTAAAAATGGCCCTTAAATATATGAAAAGATGTGGATCTTCATTTATTCATGGTAAGAAAAATGTGAATGAAAACCAAAATGAGATACCATTTCTTACCTGTCAGGTTGACAGAAATGTAAAAGTTGGTGAGGACAAACAGGTACTCTCATATATCATATACTCTTAGAGGGGAATTTGGCAACATCTAACAAAAATATGTATGTATGTGTGGACTATTTGGCTCAAAAGTCCACACTTAGGAAATAACCCTAAAGGGTAGACCATCCATTACAAAAATATCCGTGGACAAGGCTATTCATTGCAGTAGTGTTTGTAATTGTAAAATATTGAAAATAATCTAAGTGCTCACATATAGGAGAGTAATTGAATAGACTATTCAGTTGGGGCCCCAGTGGTTCAATGGTACTATGGTGCGGTCACACGATGCAGAACCATGCAACGGATAAAGAATCAGATCCCCATGAATTCTTATGAGGAGATTTTCAGGATCTATTATAAAGTTAAAAAGAGTAAAGTAGAAAAGAGTTTCTATAGTATGTTAACTTTTAAGGAAGGAGAAAAAAGGAAATATTTGTGCATGTGCTTATTTTTGCAAGAAGAAACAGGAAGAATAAACCAGAAACCAACGTGAGTGGGAACAAGGAGGAAGGGTTTGGCGGAGGAGTGACACTTCTGTATGTACCTTCTTGTATTGTTTTGACTTTGGAACCAGATTCATGGTTTATATACCCCCAAAATTAGATCAACAAGGATGGGGAAAATGCTAAAATTAAATACAAACAGAAGCAAATGAAACCAACTCTATTTCAAAGGAATGATATAACCACCAGGAGGGGGAAAAGAGAAAGAAGTAACTTAAATAATTTTTGCAGTATTTGGATATAAATCTTTAGGTAACAGATAAAAAGAGCTGCAATTGTTCTGAAACTAATTTCAGGATTGGGCAAATGAGTAAATATATAGAAGATAGTGGGATCCAAGTCTTTCACGGCGAAAGGAATTACAAATATGAAAAGGGGAAACCAGCATAAATTCTATGGTGTTGGATTGAATTGGAGATATGAGTGTGAACTACTGTTTGTTGTTATCTCTTTCCCTTGTTTTCTGTGTTTGTGTGTTTTGTGAATTTATATCTGCATATGTGTATGTGTATTTGTGTATTTCCTAGCTTTGTCCACTGAAAAGGCCTAAAAGTAATGACGCCCCAGTAGCAGCAAGCACTCCTAAGGCTGAGCTCTTGCTTTCTGAAAACACTTCTTTACAAGAAAAACCAAGGCTCCTTGAAGAAATGGCTATTTCCAGGGCTAAGATGGGGAAAATATGAGTCTAAATACCTTGTGTGCTAAAAAAGAGCGTTAAAAGAATCATGGAGACATGTCAAAAGAACACAGGAGCTGGCTTCCAGTGGGCTCCCATTGGTCAAATATGGGACAATTTGAGCATCAAAATAAATAATGATAGTAGTAGATTATAGCCACTTTAATAAAATAAGGATTTCATGAATCTGAATTTATATAAACAAACAAACATACCAATAAATTAATAAAGGGCAAGAAGGAAAGCTTTTCCTTGCGGTAGAAGATTAACTAATGGATGTAGAAGGAATGATGAAATTGGGAAATTCACTATTTGGCAAATATCATCATAAGAATGGTTCTGGCAAGAATCTTTTATCAGTGCTGAAACTAGTGAGTGAAAGTTTGATGAGGACTAGGATATTCACAGAGCCTCCAAGTATCCCCCTCCCACACATTACTAATTAATTCCAAAGGGAAAAATAGTAATTCGTAGTGGAGGAACCTGGCAGCAAACAGCCCTTTAACCAAGTGAGTTAACATCGCCAATAATGGGACCTACGTACACCACGTACCTCTTGATATGATGCAACGAGGAGGACACAATATGGCTGTTGTGGTATTCCTGCCCAAAATGCAAAAATGGAATCTAATCAAAAGATAAACACGAATTGAGGAACATTCTAGAAGACACTTGTGCCTGTCTTCTGCAGAAATGTATAGCTCTTGAAGATAAAGACAGACCCGTTCCAGATTAAAGAAGACTAAAGACACGACAATTCCAAGCAATTCACAATGTGGGATTCGATCCTGGACTGGGCCAAAAAGTAGCTATGAGACATTTTTGGGACAATTAGTGAAATCTGAATGTACCAACATTGAATTCCCTGCTTTTGATAACGGGGCTGGAGTGATGTACAAGACCATCCTTGTTCTTAGGAAATACACACTGAAGGATTTAGGGGTAAAGGGACGTGATGAGCACAATTCACTCTCCAATGGTTCAGAAAACAGACGGAGAGAGAGAGACGAAATGATGAAGCAAATGAGGAAACGTAAAGATTGGGTGAATCTCGGTGAAAGGTAAATAGGAGTTCTCTGTACCGTTCTTGCAACTTTTCTGTAAGTTTGATATTATTTCAAACGTAATAAAAAGCTGTCCAAAAAGTTAAAAAAAATTGTTTTAGGTTAGTTAGATGTGACAGTATTTTTCAAAACGATAAGACACCGTTTGGAAGAGACTCCTAGGTAAGGGGGAGGGGAAAAGAGGAGGCACCCAGTCCTGGGATGCAATCACGGACTTTAATTGGAGGCAGCTCCTCCTGCAGTGGCTTTTTCAGGAGCGGAAGTGACTCTTGCTCGCGGCACGGGGGATGGCTCAGACATCTTCTCCTCCTCCTGGGGGAGTTTCCGAATCCGTCTTCATGACCTCTGTGCGCCGCCCTCTTCCTCCTGGAGACGCTCCAGCCGCTGTGCAGCCTCAGAGACCTGCGTGGGGCTGCTGACTAGAAGGCTCAGGGTCTCCCAATGAGGCAGGGCTGGAAGGGCCAGTGATCCCGGGAGTAGCGGTTTAGGTTTCTCTTGTAAAAACCTCTTTGGGAATCGTGTATATTCAGATCTGAAAGAAAAAAGGAAAAAGTTATGCCGGGCAAAGACTTTGCATTGGGCCTGGCTGGACTGTCCTGCGTGCCTCCATCCCGGGTCATTGTCACGTTGTCTCCATTACCGTGCGAGCCAAGCGGACTCCAGCCTGGGACGCGGAAGTCCTTTGTAATAGGGACAACTTTCTGCAGTAGGTTTCGTTTTGTAGTCCTTTGGTGCATTCAGCAATGGGAGGGTGTCTTGCAAAGTGCAGTGGCTTGGAAAGTTGGGAGAATTGGGTCCATCCTGGTTCTGACACTAATGCCACTCCTTGGTTTTGGAAAGCCCCTCCCCCCAGTGGGCCTCAGCCTTCCCTGTATGATGAGAGGCAGGTTTGAAAACTCGGTTCCGTGGAGCCTCTGGGGGGTGGGGAGGGGAGATGGAGGGGATGGATGAGCTAGTGGGACTCCCCGCCCCCCATCCTCAATTCAATTACAGCACGACCCCTTTGTTCTTTTACAAAACTTAGACTTTGTGTGAGATTTTGTTGCCAAAGACAGTTTAGCTTGTGGGAAGTCTGAAATGGCTGCGCTCGTTGATCCTTTGCTCTCAACATTCAGCCTCGTGGGGCGTTCTGAGCTATGTGAGGTCACCCAGGTACACAGTTGGTGCCCAGCCATGTGACTCCATTCCTTCTTCCTGAATGTGCCCGCTGTCCAAGACTGGGCTTCTGTCCTTCCACGACCCAGAGGCATTTCTCCCCCAACTGGAGTATGCTCAATCCACGAGAATTTTCTGGCATTCTTTCCTTGCCAGGCACCTGGCTGGGTTTGGGGGGAAGCCAAACTGACGTGGCCCCTGCCCTCGCGGAACTTACTGTCTGGTGGCCGAAGCAGACATTAAGCAAACAGTGACTCAAAAGACACATCTCAGACAATGCCCCAAGGACTTGGAAGGAGAGCATGGTGTGCTCTTTCCTCCCAGAGCCCCTCATGTCATCCCCAGCTCAGAGCATCACACAGGCGGGTTTGAGGCCCCCAGACCCTCTCTAGTGTATTCTAGCTTCCTGATAGGAGTGGTCCGTCCATCCTTCCTGTCACCCCCCCCAGCTTAGCTCAGATATCACTGGAGCTTGGGCATCAGGACCAGGGCCCCTCCCCTCGGGGTTCTTGGCCAGGGTTAGGATCTCAGTTTGGCACTCACCCTCAAGCTCACTGCTGCTGACAGCGGAGGCTGTCTTTGCTGGATGGACCAGCGGTCGTCCCGGAGGCAAGGAGGAGGCTGCTGTAGTGTGCTCGGGATTTTGTGGGCCAAGTTCATCCTTCTGCAAACCTGGCAACGATAATTGCACGTGGTCATGTGGGGAGGCTCAGAGGAAATGACGGCAGCGAAGGCGTTTTGCCGACTTCCAAGGAGTGCACACGGGCCAGTGGTGGCTAGTATGGGTTGGGGAGTCCCTGAATCTACCTCCTTCAGTCTTCTGAGTTCTCCCCCTCATAGGCAGGTATTGGATTCAAAATATGTATTTTGCTTTTTTTTGGTGAGGAAGATTTTGTCCTGCGCTAACATCTGCTGCCAATCTTCCTCCTTTTTGCTTGAGGAAGATTGGCCCTGAGCTAACATCTGTGCCCATCTTCCTCTATTTTGTATGTGGGACACTGCCACAGCGTGGCTGAGAGGAATATGTCAGCGCCCGGGATCCGAATCCGGGCTGCCAAAGAGGAACTCGTGGAACTTTAACCACTCAACCATGGGCTGGCCCCAAAGTATGTATTCTTCTTAAAAACTAAAATTTTCTTTTTTCCTTTTATAAATATAATACATATCCATTATAGAAAACCTAGGAAATATCTATGAATAGGAAGTAGGAAAGAAATTTCCCAAAGCCCCCTCCTCTCAGATATTATCACAGTTCCAGTCTTTTCCTATGCATATATATATTTTTTTTTTGGTGAGGAAGATTGGCCCTGAGCTAACATCTGTTCCATTCTTCCTCTTTGTGCTTTAAGGAAGGTTGTCATTGAGCTAACATCTGTGCCCATCTTCCGCTAGTTCGTATGTGGGATGCCAACACAGCATGGCTTGATGAGTGGTGAGCAGGTCTGTGCCTGGGATCCGAGCCTGAGAACCACTGAAGCGACTTTAACCACTGTGCCATTATATTATAAACATTTTTCTCATGTCACTACATTTTAAGAAATAATGGTTGCATAACGTTCTGTTTTATAATAATTCAAGATTTACTTAACCAATGTTCTCTTGTTCGATGTTCGGACTGTTTTCGAATTTCACTACTACAAATACTGTTGTGATGAATGTTGTTGTATATAAGGCTGCATTTTATATACTTGTAGATTCCCGGAAGTGTAAGATTTTGTCAACAGGCTGAGCGGTGTGGTGTGATGGAGCAGACGGCTCTGGCCTTGACCTGCTGCGTCCCTCGAGTGCATTGCTTCACCTCTCTCTGCCTCTGTTTTCAGACTTGCAAGGTGATGCATCCATTTCGGATAATCATGACCACTTCTTCGAGTTATCGTAGGCATTCAATCCTAACATTTTCCTGGTGTGCAAGCTCTGAAACGGTCGACGATTTATCTGATCACAGCTGGGCCCCGGGTGCCCAGACACGGCCTTGCCTGTAATAGGCACTTCATAATGATCATTATTATTATCTTGGAAAAAGGGATTGTTGTTTTTAAGCTTCTTGGTTTTTATTGTGAAACTCCTTCCAGGGGAAGTATTTTAAAGACCCTCCCTATGGATTTCTGGCAAAATATGCCATGAGAATTTTTTCCTTGACGTTGTATTGTCCCATCTCTCAGTGGGACTGTGCCAGATGCCTGGCCAGCCCCCCTGCCCCTACCACTCACCACCCCACTGTGTACCTGTCAGTCCTGGCTTTGCCTGATCCTGACAATAATGATGCTGTTTTTTTTCTGTTTGAAATTGCTGATTTTGACCCCCCAGCCTTCTCCACTCTGACCTTTTGTCCTGGATCATCAGGAAGGACATAGTTGCAGACTGAAGGCCAGGATGCTTCTCTCTCTTTCTCTATCTCTGACCTTGCCATGGCAGCCTTGGAACCCATGTGTTCCAGATGCCCTGGCCGAGGATGAGAAGGATGGCTGATGTGTACGAGACTTTGCGTAAACAAGAAATACACTTTCATTTTGTAAACCATTGAGATTTCAAGACTCATTTGTTTCAACAGCAGAGCCTGTCCTTCCTGACGAGTACTCGTATATAAATTCCATTTGTGGACATCTGTTGAATCTCTACTTTGTTCTGGCCCTGTGCTTGGTGCTTAAATATATTATGTCATTCATTCCTCCCAAGGACAGTGGAAAGAAAGAGTATATTATGAATATCCCCATTTTACAGGTCAGGAAACTGAAGCTCGGAGAGCGTGGTTAAGTGACCTGCCCAATTCTGTGGCAGAGCTGGTTGGAAGCAGCCCCGGCCCCAAAGGCAGAGATCTTCCCCACTGTCTTTGTAGCCTTCAGCCAAGTGCTTCTCAAACTGTAATGCACCTTCAGGTTTCCCTGGGAGTCATGCTGAAAGGCAGGTTTTGACTCAGTAGGTCTGGAGTGGGGTCTGAAAGAGCTAACCAGCTCCCGGGTGATGCTGATACTGCTGGCCCCTCGATCTCACTCTAAGGATGAAGATTTTAAGCTCTGTTGTTTATTGGTTCAGGTCCTTAGCCCCCCAATCCCCACCTCATTTTAGGTTGGAATTATCACTCAAAAACTGAAGCGAATCTGAGGGTCTCTCAGCAGGAGGGAGATGAGTAAATAAGGTCTAGAGAAGCCAGGCAGGCTGTTCTTGTCTGGTACCTACTGTGGATCGCTGACTGTTGCTCTTGGGTTTGACTGGAGGTCTTGGAGTCATCTATGGACTGGGGCTCCTCACAGTGTCTGCAGCACAGACAGAAGATCTTTGAGGCCAGGTTTTGGTGGGCTGCTGTAGGAGGAAAAGGAATGAGGGCTGTGGGTTCTGAGGTCTGAATTCCAGATGCCCACTGGAAATTTACTGTGCTGGGGGTCTTATTGGGGCAGCCTCTCCCAAGGTATAATAGCCCCCCTCTCGCCCCAATTTCTGTAGCTCCCCACGGCCAGCAGGTCCAGGCCCTTCTGCCTAGGTCACCATCTTTTTTTTTGGCCATTTCCCCATTCTATCCAAAATCGTCTTACCCATGGAAATGCGTTGAAGCGTCTACTCTGCCAGCTTTGCCTGCAGGGTGCCTTGTTGGATCGGTTGATCTTGAATTTGAAGCCAGCTCCCTGGGCAGGGCTGTTTCCTAAATAAACAGAAGACTGTGGCTGAAGAATGCCAGTCCTTTACCTGTGTTCACGCTTCAGAGAGGGTCCCACTGCAGCGAAAGCCCAGCTCATGCTGAAGTGCACATGAACATGGTCAGCTGGTAGATACATCTCTGTTCTCCTCATTCCCAGGTGCACGTTCTTGGGTAAATTCCTTAACCTTCTTGAGTCTCACTTTTACCATGGGGAAAATGGGACTCATCATGCCTACTTTGCAGAAGTAAAGGGTTAAGTATATGAATAGTACCTGTGGTACCAGGTACGCAATAAATACCACGTCAATAGTCTTTCCATTTCCTGTCTCTTCCCTTTATGTGGCTTGTTGGCTCCAAATTATTCCGGCTGGTCCAGGTCCCACGAGAACACGGAGAACATGGTCATGAGGCACCATCTTGTAGGTTTAGGTCCTGGTTCTGCCACTACCTTGCTGCCTGACTTTAGGGAAGTCCATGCTGTTCTCTGGGTCTCTGGCTTCTCATCGGTAATAAAAGGAGGTTAGATTGGCTGATCTCCTCAAAGATCTTTCTAGTTCTGATGGTTCAGAATCAGAAAGCCTTGTTTTAGTCCCTTTTTTTTTTGGTCTCTAGATGCTTCCTCTTCATACTCCCCTTTCTGAGGCAAACCCCCTTATAGGAAATTCTTATCACGGTGTTGGTTAATGTCCGTCACAATACCCAGTTCACTCTGTGAGTTATGTCCCTCATGGGACTCGCTTCTCATTTTCTCTACTGCTATACCTGGTCCACGCCACCATCATCTCTTGCCTGAATGATGGAAATCGCCTCCTAACTGACCGCCTTGTTTCTTTTATCCTTGACTTCTTAATAATGAATACAAAATCTTTAACTTCCTGTACATAAGCTCTTCAACATAGCACGATTTATATACTGTGGTCAGATATATCTAGCAGGCTAGACACACACAGATGTCCCCATTCTGTGGGATCCTTGGAGCACGAGGGGTACTCACTGCGTCCATTGAGCCCCAATCTCTAATTGTCTTTTGGATTGCTGCCAAGTGAGTTTTCCAACATGATTTGAGCTCTGGTGTATTTCATTGAGCTCTCCTTAATGAATTTATTATATTTTCTTAGGATTTATAAGCAAATAGAAATTTATATAAGGCATTTAGATCTTCTGTTTTAGGATGCCCCATTTAGCAAATATACTTGCCATTAATATGCTTATTGTGCTGCTTGCTTTAGTTTCAATTTTCTTCCTCTACTTATATAAACTCTTGTCTCCAGGGGTTTTGCTTTGGTCTAGATTGCCTTGTGTATGTTGAATGTAGAAGGAAGTGTTTCATAAGGAAGGAATGGAAGCATGGATCTGACAAACCCTCCCCACAAGTCAGCCCTGAGAACCAATGGTTGGAAGTCTGTTAGACTGGTGATCAATTTGTATAAAGCTAATTGCTAAGAGTTTGCCTTGAGTCCCTCCAAAGCATGAGCACATGTTCTGTCTTGTTAATTCAATGAAAGGAGGTCACTTTGCTCAGCCTATATTCTGGAGTCAGTGATTTCCAGGTCGTGGATCCTATGGACTCCTTTAAGTTCTCCTTGGCCAGGGAATTCAAGACACCATGCATAACTACAAACTGTAGTGTGTTCTTTCCTGTTTGTCATGGTCTCATCTACATTAAAGTTGCTGCCTCTTTCTGGAAAAACTCCTGCTTCTCATATATACTCCCGCTGCGTGCACTGTCTTGTGCTGATCCTAATAAATAGCAAAATTTCGCTAGATGACTTAGAATTCCATTGGCCATTACGGCAAACTTCCAGTGTCAAAAATAAGAGGTTCAAGAGGAGCTCTAGAAAAAAGAGAAGATGAGAACACCAGACCTTCAATAGAGGGCTTCTTTGATTGGTATGCTCTGGGCTCAAAAAGAAAGTAAAAAAAAAAAAAGGTCTCACTCCTACACAAACCTTCTGAAACCTCCTTTCTTTGCATCTCTCTTTCTCTCTCCACCTAGCTTTTTCTTAACCGCCCACTGACTCTCCTCTTGTTTCTTTCCCCAACTGCCTAAGTAAGCTTTCTTCCTGGGGCATTTTTCTAGAAAAGAATAATGAACATTGCACAATATCCTCCTAAAACTCGTATATCAGAAGGTGGATCTAGAGAGGCTGAGTTTAAATTCCGGGTGAGAGTTGAGTGGAGGCAAATATTTAGAATAATCCCAAATTTCAGAATGACAGGAAGTTGCTGCATAATTCAGGATTCTGTTAGTTACTCTGTTACTTATTGCCCTGAATTATTGTACTTGTACCAGTTAATTCACTTAATTGTTGACCTTCAACAGTGGGGCAAAATGTTTAAAAGCAGCAAGATGGAAAAGACCAGAAGATTTCCATAACCCCTCGCCACACGCATAATTCAAAAAAGTGGGTTTGAGAAGGTAAGAATAAGAAACACACCACGTAAACTATTTCATAAAACCTTTCTCTTCAGGGTAGATTGGGCAAAGATTCCAAATTGCAAACAAAATCAAGATGAATCAATAGAAGATTGAATATACTTCAGGACACTTTCAAAGAACATTCTAGGGCAGACCAACACCTTAAGTAAAGGGGGCCTTTTCTTCTCTTTTTGCTGCAGGTTCAGACCTGAAATAGAGGACTTAGATAAAATAAATTAGAATGGGAATTGCCAACTTAGATCTCCTAATCATTTTCAAAGAGTCCTAAATATTTAACTAGAAATCGAAATAACCTTATGGCCTCTTGGATAAAACAGTTGGCTCCTGAAATATAAAACAGGACTAAAAGATCCTCTGTTCTTAAAGAATCTGGAGCCTGTGGATAAGGACACGGATTTGCTATGAGCAGAAAGACCACTGGAGGAACTCATGTTCCATAATGGTGGAAGGACAGCCATCCAAATCTGCCCAGTGATGCCACTCTGAGGAGAACTTAGCACTCAACACTTTCCTATCCTTCCTCTAAACTCCCAAGGGAATTGATCATATAGATGGACAAAAATACTGTTTGCTTCTTGATAGAGTTTGTTTCTTATATGGAAATCAGACTCTTCAATGTCAACTAGGACTAAGACTGATTGTTCTGTATGACGAATACTGGGACCATTCTAAGTATGGTCCCCCAAGGACCCTCAATGGACTACATCTTCTTGAACACAGCATTGGCAGGAATACCCACAGGTGGAGTAGACTTCTGAGGATGGTGAGTTCTCGATAGGAGCTGGACAACTTGCTCATTTTCCCTCACCAAATACTGCAGCCCATGCCCTGGGACTTAACCAACCAGTTGAAAATCCTTAGCTCAAGTAATTACGGATATTAGAATACCTGTGGATTTTATTTTGACTAATCAAGGGGAGTATGCACCATTGCTCGCACTTCATGTTCCACTTGGATTAACGCCACAGGTGAGGTTAATCTACATGTAAACCCAAAGAAAAGCCAACTTGGCTGTCTAAAGTAGACCCAGGGAATCATCTGAAATTTCTTTTCTTGGTCACGCCTCGGAAATCGTGGGTCATGATTCTAGAGTGCCGTTCAGACTCTTTTTAAAATACTTTTAATTATTATTGTTTGCCCCATAGTCATTCAGTGGCTGTTGTCCAGAGGGTCAAATACTTTTCTGCAGCCACTGGCTCAACATAGGGTTCCACAAAGACAAAAACAAGAAGACCTCAGGCTGGCTGATGCTCAAACTGAACAGATCTCTGTAAGTGGGAAAATGGAACTGTGTCTTCAAGGAATTTCAGCGACAGTGGTGAAGATCTGGACAGTCCTTGAGGCTCTCTTCTGCAGCTTTGGTTGAAGGCAGGCCAAAAGGGGGAGACCAGGAATAAAAAAGAAGTTCCCACACTCCTAAATAAAGACCGATTACTCTGCAACTATGGTCATAGGTAGTCACCAGAACCCGTTTTAAACCCATATGGTCTATTAATGAAACTCATCTTGGTGACTGCTCTCCTGAAAGCAATGGACACGTGACAGTGTTACACTTTCACAGCTGATCGTTTCCATTCCTAAGCACTCCTCCCTCTGAAATACCACTGCTTGTCCATCAACTCGACACCTCCCTAAAGACCGTGTATATCAGCTATTAGCTTTGCTCGGAGACTCTGTCATAGAAGCATAGTTTTCTCGTATAACGAGAAATAAATTGTTTTTGTTTCACCTATGGAATGGTGGTCTCTTCCTCTAAAGCAGCTTACGTATAATGAGTACCTTGGGTATTATCCTATGTTAACATGCAGCAGAGATTTGAAACGTAGCCTTGTCTGAGTCTAGCGCCGACACTTTCCACAGACCTCCTCCACCCAGCCGTTTCACGAGAACGAGGGAGTAGAACCACTTCCTCCTCCCAGTGTTGGCAGCAAAGAGTTATGAACTTTTGGACCCTCTTCAGAAATGGAAAGGTTTTAGGGAGAGCAGAGCAGTGGTTACAGGCACATTCTTTGGGATATAATTCTTAAAGATCTACTACTTATTAGCTGTGAGATTTAGAAGAATTTAATCTCTTTGAACCTAAGTTTTCCTATCTGTAATATGGGGATGCTAATAACAGTATCTACCCTAGAATGTGGTTGTGAGGATTAAATAATGTTGGAAAGTGCTGAGCACGGTGTCTGGCAGTCGGTAAGTACTTAATAACGTGGATGGTGGTGATGTAGGAGGAATCTGGCTGGGGCAGGGTGCGGTGTGGGGTGTCCTGCACTACCACTGCCCTCCTCTAGATGGAAGCAGGAGCCAAAGAAAAGGGCCCTGGGGTTATCCCTAGTGGGCTGTGAACTTCAGGTCTCCAGTGACCCCACAGCACTTGGACCAGAACAAGAAAGATCAGTGAGGTCAAACGGGAAGGCTTCTGGAGCTGGAGGAGCCCTCAGGGGTCACTCAGCCATAGAGGGAGAGACTGGGACCCAGAGAGAGAAACAGAGGGGTCCAGGTAAGTTAGGGGTGGCGTCTGCTTCCTGGAGCAAAGCGAAAAGGTGCCCAGCAGTGATGGAGATGTTGTCCCTTTAAGCACCGAACAAATCCCCCTCCGGCTCTCAGGTCTGACCTTTGAGCCTCGCTCACCTGCAGCTGGCAGAGTGGAGGGGAGGCTGTCTGTGACGTCACAGAGCCGGAAGCAGGAATGTTGTGGACTGGGGGGGTGTGACTGGCCCCCACAGGCGGGGAGGAGGGGGGAGGTCTGCTGACCTCTCTCCAGTGGTCCTCCCCTCTCTTCATGATGCCGTGCTGTCCTTTGGGGCAGTGGACCGGAAATCCTGGTGCCTCTTGTGAAGGCATCTTGAGGACGGCTGGGCCAGAAGGGGGCAGCGTGGCACGGGACGCAGACCACCTGGGTCCGCCTTCGGTCTTGGCACACCAGCTGGGTGCTAACCTTGGGCAAATGGACTCCACGACTCGATTTCTTCCTCTTTAAAATGGGAATAGTAATAATTAAATGTCCTATATATATTTTTAGGATTAAGTGAGATCAGGTAAACATTTCACATGGTGCCTCGCTGTCGAACACATGCAAGAAATGGTTGTTATTAATGATACGTGCAAAAATAAAGGAACATTCTCTTCCCAGTCGATCTTTCAGGAATGTACCTGAAAGCTTTATTCTTGAGTCCTCACAGAATCTCTCACCATATGGGACACACTTTCAGTTCCTTTATTTAGGACAACCAAGTACTATTTGGGGAAGCCAAATTAGGTTAAAATGTTCTCAATCCGTGCTCTCTTTGGATGCTTATGGAGGTCACCTGAGACAAAAGATACAGAAGAAAGCACAGATTCAGCACCGTTTTGGAAGTCCCGGGGCGGGGGGGCGCGGTAGGAGTTGAGGTGGGAGGAGGATATGACCTAACCATCGCAAATATTTAACAGTCCTTTAAACCTCACTTATAAAGCAACACTCCTAAGTGGTCATATTGCAGCTGCTGAACTCTGGCTCCAAGTGTGGTTCATCCGAGGTGTTTGGGAAACCTAAGGACGCCCTGGGGTCTAACTCTAGATACATTGGAATCCTTGGGGAGGGCAAGCCTGAGCATCAGTATTTTTACGCTTTCCAGGTTCTTTTAGGTAACCAAGCCTGAGAACCAACTACTAAATTACATTGTGGAGCTTGCCAATGATCCACTTGAGCCGTGGTTCTCGGCTCAGGCTGTGCATAGCCTCGCAGGAGGAACTTTAAAAAAGGGCCACGCCCAGTGTCCGCTCCAGGCCAGTAAAATCACTATTTCTGGGCATTGGTAGTTTTTAGAGCTCCCCAGGTGACTTTTTACCCCTTTAAAAAACAGTTGAGATCTAAGTGACACACATCATTCTGTAAGTTTGAGATGTAGGACGCGGTTTGATACTTACATATCGTGATATGATTACTATGGTAGTGTCAGCTAACACCTTTATCATGTCAATTAATTGTCATTTCTTTCCTGTGTTGAGAACAGTTAACATCTAGACTCTTAGCAACTTTGAAGTTTATAATGCAGTATGATTTTAATTCTCGGACAGCGTTGGAACCACCGACCGACAGCTCAAATTAAAAAAACCCTAAATTTTCTTGATGCTGTGTGAACGGATCTTTTAGCTTTTCAGGAACAGCGTTGTACATGGATTCAAAAGGACTATTCTTCAAATAACTTAGAAAAGGAAATAATCTACTCTGGAAACTTGTGTGAGTTGAAAACCGTGAAGATGCTGAAGTGAAAGATGTGTGTGACGCGTTTGAATGAAATTGTCTTAGAAAGCGGGCGAGTGAGGACAGCAATATTTCCAAATTAATGTGTTTTATGTAATATGCCATTGTAAACACATAAAATGTATTGAATCAATGTACATAGAGGCTTAGTTCTTTCACGCAGAGCACTAAATGTTTCTGCATTTGTGTTGGCCAAAAGACTTGAAAAAATCTTTGCCTGGGGAGCCGAGGGGATTGTCTTCTGGTTGGGGTTGGTTTGTCATTCAAGTGTATGTGGTATGATTGCTTCCTTCCCCGTGGGCCTGGCTTCCTAACCTCCTATATGACCTTGGCCATGGCCATTAACCTCTCCAGTCCTCAGTTTCCTTATCTTTAAAGTGGGAACAATAATAGAGTTGATATGAGGGATACCTTAGACCAGCCATGGAAGGCCGTAAGGGTAGGGCCTGTAGGGAAGAGGGATTCAATAAATGTTGCTTATTATTATTATTCTTATTGTTTTCTGTTGACAGTGAAGGTTAAGGAGGAGCCTGGGCTGATGCCTGTGTCTCCAGCTGTCACAGCTGTGGATGTGAAATTAGAGAATTCAAGAAGAGGAGCAGATTTTGAATAAGGATAAATTTAGGTTTTGAAAAAACTTTATTTTGAAATAATTACAAATTCGCAGGAAGTTGCAAAGAAATGTGCCGAGAGGTCCCATGAACCCCTCACCGACTTCCCCAGTGTTAACGTCTCGCATCACTAATGATATCAAAACCAGGAAATTAACATTGGCGCAATCCACAGAGCTTATTCGAAATTCACCAGGCGTCCATGCACTTGTGTGTATGTGTGTGTAGCTGTGTGCAATTTTGGCACGTGTGTGGCTTCATGTAACCGCCACCACAATCAAGACACTTAACTACCATCGCCACAAAGCTCCTTTGTGTCACCCCTTTACAGCCACCCCACCCCCTCTTCCCCCATCTCTAACTCCTGGAAACCGCTCATCCGTTCTCCATTTCTGTAGTGATGTCATTTCATGAATGTTACATAAGTGGAAACATGCAGTATGTATCTTTCTGAGTTTTTTTTTTCACTCAGCGTAATTTCCTTGAGATTCATGCCAGTTATGGCGTGTATCCGTAGTTGTTCCTTTTTATTGCTGACTCATAATCCACGGTAGGGATGTACCACCGTTTGTTTAATCAGTCACCCACTGGACGATAGATGCATGGTTTCCAGTTTGGGGCCATGAAGAAGAAAGCTGCTGTGAATTTTCGTGTACTACTTTCTGTATGAACATAAGTTTTCATTTCTGTGCGGTCGATGCCCAAGCGTGCTATTTCTGCCTTGTATGGTAAATCCACTTTAGTTTTAAAAGAAAGCGCCAAATTATTTTCCAGAGTGACTGCGCCATTTTAGAGTCCTACCGGCCGTGTATGCGTGGTCCTATTTGTCTCACCTTCTCCACTGTGGGTTTTTTTTTTTTTTCTATTTTTTATTTTAGCCATCCTAATAGATATGTTCTGGTATCACTGTGATTTTAAGGTGCATTTTACCCAGTAGCTAATGATGTTAAACATCTTTTCATGTGCTTATTGGTCAGCCATACATCCTCTTTGGTGAAAGGTCTCTCTTCATGACTTTTGCCTTCTAATTAATTGTTTTCTAAATTCAGTGTTTTAAAATGACAGTTTTATTGAGATATTCATACACCATAAAATTTATGCTTTTCAAATGTACACAGTTCAGTAGTTTTTAGTATATTCATAGAGTTGTGCAACCATCACCACCATCTAATTCCTGAATATTTTCATCACCCAAAAAGGAAACTCTATACCCTTTAGCAACTACTGTCCATTCTCCCTTCCTTTTAACCACTGGCAACCACTAATCTACTTTCTGTCTCTGTGGATATACGTATTCTGGACATTTCATATACATTGAATCATACAGTATGTGGTCTTTTGTGTGTGGTTTCTTTCACATCATAATCTTATCATGGTTCATCCATTTTGTAACATGTATTAGTTCTTCATTCACTTCATGTTCACTGCCAAATAATATTCCATTGTATGGATATACCACATTTGGTTTACCTGTTCATCTGTTCATGGGCATTTAGGTTGTCTCCACTTTTTCTTTTTTGTGAGGAAGATTGGCCCTGAACTAACCTCTGTGCTAATCTTTATTTTATGTGGGATGCCACCACAGCATGGCTTGGTGAGCAGTGCTAGGTCTGCACCTGGGATCCGAACCTGCAAACCCTGGGCTGCTGAAGCGGAGTGCAAACCTCACCACTGGGCTGACCCCCTAGGTTGTCTCCACTCTTTGGCTCTATGAATAATGCCGCTATGAATATTTATGTGTAAATTTCTTTCTGGACATATGTTTTCGTTTCTCTTGGGTATATATACCTGGAAGTGAAATTGCTGAGTCATAGAGTAACTCTATGTTTAACTTTTGAGAAATTGCCAACCTGTTTCCAGAAGGGGCTGTACCATTTTAGAATGCTTCCAGCAATGAATGAAGACTCCATTCACTTCGCATTGTTGACAACACTTGTTACTGTCTGCCTTTTTTATTTTAGCCATCCTAGAGAGTGCGAAGTAGTACCTTATTGTGGTTATGATTTGTGTTTTTCTAATGCTTAGTGATGTTGAGCATCTTTTCATGTATTTGTTGGTCATTTGTATATCTTATTTGTAGAAATGCTTATTAAATTCCTTTGCCCATTTAAAGGTTGGATTGTCCACATATTGTTGAGTTTTAAGAGTCCTTTATATATTTTGCATACTAGACTGTTATCAGATATATGATTTACAAATATTTCTTGCATTCTGTTGATTGTCATTTCACTTTCTTGATGGTGTCTTTAAAGCACAAAAGTTTTTTTTTTGAGGAAGATTAGCCCTGAGCTAACATCTGCTGCCAATCCTCCTCTTTTTGCTGAGGAAGACTGGCCCTGAGCTAACATCCATGCCCATCTTCCTCTACTTTATATGTAGGATGCCTGCCACAGCATGGCTTGAACAGCGGTGCCTAGGTCCACGCCTGGGATCCAAACCAGTGAACCCCAGGTCGCCAAAGTGGAGCGTGTCAACTTAGCTGCTGCACCCCTGGGCCAGCCCCACAGAAGTTTTTAATTTTGATGAAGTTCAATTTAACTTTTTTCTTTTGTTCCTTGTGTGTGTGTGTGTGTGTTTTTGGGGCTGGGAAAGATTGGCCCTGAGCCAGTATCTGTTACCAGTCTTCCTTTCTCTCTCTTTTTTTTCCTTCCCCAAAACCCCAGTACGTAGTTGTATATTCCAGTTGTAAGTCTTTCTGGTTCTTCTATGTGAGCCACTGCCACAGCATGGCTACTGACAGGTGGGTGGTGTGGTT